AAGTAGGACTTGGCAGCCCTTCTCATGGATACACTTTGAAGTGACTAGCTTGCCTGACCAAATTCTTTGCTGGTTTCATCTAACGAATGATAGGCATGTTTGTGGTGAGTGAGCATTGATTTTGAGGAACCTGGCCGAGGTCCATGAATGAGATTCGCAAAAGTTATGATTCTTTCCCCGAGCATCAGCTTGAGCGTGTTTTGGTTCCAACATTTTTTTAAGGGCTGCTGCGCAGGCACCCTTGTGGTGCTATCGAAGGTCACGCAATGGTTTTGTACATGGTCAGCTGGACATTCTATGTTTCATTGGCGCTCTTTCTATTGGCCTATTTATTTTTCCGATCAATGTATTTTGTTTATCAATGGCTGTGTCACAACGAGGAGTTTGCGTGCTTCTCATAAAAGCCGCTTTCTTCTTGTTTTGAATGAACAGCATAATATAGCTTGTGGAAGAAAGGGAGGAAACCCACTTGTGCTTTCATTCCAGAAATGTTTCATACACTGGTGCGAAACACATCGCTCTGAACATGTATAACGAAAAAACATATGTAAAGCCAGCGACACACAGTATTGCGCAAGTCGATCTTTTGTTTTGTACGATAGGTATAGAACGTGGGTGACAAACCCTAGAACACAAACAGAGTGCAGTCAAAAAAATGCAAATGGCTTTTATTTTGTCATCATCCGAGACATGAAAATCAATTACAGGTTTTTGTTCAGCAAGAATAGCAAACCGGTTGCCGCAAAGAATTATGTGAGTCTGTTTGGATGGGGCTGAACAGTTTGCTTTTCTTCTGGGCTGCTTCAAACAACGCATTATCATCCTTTGATGTTTCAAATCTTTGTGGCTCAGGCCTAAAACCCGGCCTCATCAAAGTCGGCCTCAAGTTGCGTCAGGCTGGGCGAATGCGTTCCCAGTGTTGGGCAAGAAATGCAACTGGCAATGAAACTTCAAAAGCTCCGACGATTTGGCCAGGTCCAATTCCAGACTTGCTGAGCTCGAACATGTCAGGAGTGTTGCTGCGGGCAGTCTACTGCTGGAGGGCTCAGAACTTGGTGGTACTAGTAGGCTTTTACCAAACGACCTAGGAAGATCACAAAAGATCCAAGAGGCCCAAATTGTCAACACGAGGGTTGAACCTTGTCTGTTTATCTCTATGTCTATTTCATACTTAACCTTAACGTTCGATCAAACTTCGGAGCGACAGCTGACAATGTGTGGCTCCTTTTGTTGAATTTGGCAAACACAATGTCAACTGCGGAACATGATCGGCAATATGCAAGGGAAAACATGTGGCACGTAAAAAGCATTCTGCTGGTGGGAAGATATTTCACGAAAGGTAGCTCCAGTGGGGCTACCTTGAGTTTTGCTTTACGAAGTAAAGGGGAGGGCGGCCAGCCCCGTTACCTGATTATTCAGGAGAGTCATTTGTACCCCGCCCACCCCCCCTCTGCCCCCTCCACGAACCCTAGCCCTAAGAGCAGACCCAAAACACTGTAATTTACAGTGTTTTTGTGCCGGCATGGAAAAAGGACTTCTTGCAACATGCAGAAAACTGTGCTATTACCAGTGTTTTTGCTAGGCGCTGGCCAAAAAACATTGTACATACCGTGATTTTTGTTACCAGAGGCAAAAAGCATCGTAAGTGCCGTGGTTTTGGGCTTCCTAGGCGCAAACAACATCAGTTTTTACGGCGTTTTTTGCTGCGAGAGCTGGAAGAAAAACGTGAAAACACCACCTCTTTGATGATTTCCGGCCACTACGGGACTGAGAAAAAAGCTGGACGGGTAACAGCAGCAACAACAACAAGAAGAACAAGAAGAACAAGAAGAACAAGACGGAACAAGAAGAACAATAAGAACAAGAAGAACCAGAAGAACCAGAAGAACCAGAGCAACAACAACAGCAACAACAACAGTAACAGCAACAGTAACAGCAACAGCAACAGCAACAGCAACAACACCAGCAGCAACAACAAAAACAACAACACCAACAACACCAACAACACCAACAACACCAACAACACCAACGACACCAACGACACCAACGACACCAACGACACCAACGACACCAACGACACCAACGACACCAACGACACCAACGACACCAACGACACCAACGACACCAACGACACCAACGACACCAGCGACACCAACGACACCAGCGACACCAGCGACACCAACGACACCAACGACACCAACGACACCAACGACACCAACGACACCAACGACACCAACGACACCAACGACACCAACGACACCAACGACACCAACGACACCAACGACACCAACGACACCAACGACACCAACGACACCAACGACACCAACGACACCAACACACCAACACACCAACACACCAACACACCAACACACCAACACACAACCACACACCACCACCACCAACAACAAGAACAAGACACCAAGAACAAGAACAACAACAACAACAAACAACAACAACAAAAAAACAAACACAAACAACAACCAACAACCAACAACAACAACAACAAACAACAAACAACAAACAACAAACAACAAACAACAAACAACAAACAACAAACAACAAACAACAAACAACAAACAACAAACAACAAACAACAACAAACAACAACCAACAACAACCAACAACAACCAACAACAACAACAACAACAACAACCACAACGACAACGACAACGACAACGACAACAACAAAAACATCAAACTTTATGATCAAAATGTTGCCCGCCGGACCTCAACCACAAAGAATCTCTGAAGATATACAAGGTAGAATGCCAGAAAGAATTGCAGAACATATATGCGATAAATTGCGAATGCCAGATAGCATGTCAGAAAATATGTCGAAACAGTGCCACTTGGTGGGGATCACTCGAAGAAGGTAATTTGTTCCAAAGGCTTTCAAAAATTGACTTAAGACAACCAACATGATGCCTTGTGGGGCCCTGCGCGCATCATCGCCATCATCAACAACGGTAACGACATCGAACATTTGATCTTGGATTCTTTGTTTCATTTTTTTTGCGCTTTGGCTGTGGTGACGCATTTTGCACCGATACCTTTCTACAAACAGACGACGTTACGCACAGAAACCTTTACACAGAGCAGCTTTTACGCGCAGATATTCTTACACAGAGAGGTTTGTTCACAGAAAAAATGTTGTACACGGACGCCTTTACGCACAGAGGTTTTAGGCAAAGAAGGAAGTATTTACACACAAAACCTTTTCCACAGAGAAGCCTTTGCACAGAACAGTTTTTCCTCACGTCACTGTGCGGGGTTCTAACTTTTTGTTCCACATCCGCCGCCGTCGGCCTCCGTCCCCCTCCCGCCGTCCCACCGTCCTGTCTGTATCAACTTGTCTCTATCAACTTGTCTCTGTCAACTTGTCTCTATCAACTTGTCTCTATCAACTGGTCTCTATCAACTCGTCTCTATCAACTTGTCTCTATCAACTTGTCTCTATCAACTAGTCTCTATCAACTACTCTCTATCCACTTGTCTCTATCAACTGCTGGTGCGTTGCCGGGATTGGCGCCGGGGACGCTGCTGGACGCCGCGGTGGTTTGGCGTGGCAGGCGCGGCGCTCGTTGCCGCGATTTGCGCTGGGGACGCCGCTGGATGCCGCGGTGGTCTGGCATGGCAGGCGCGGCCCTGGGGGACTCTGAAGGCGGTGCGTTGCCACAATTCGCGCCGGGGACCCCGCTGGACGCCGCGGTGGTTTGGCGTGGCAGGCGCAACACTGGGGGACTCTAAAGGTGGTGCGTTGCCGCGATTGGCAACAGGGACGGCGGTGGACGGCGGTGGACGCGGCGGTGGTTTGGCGTCAGACACGGTGCAGACTGGTTCAGGCACGGTTCAGACTGGTTCAGACACGGTTCAGACACGGTTCAGACACGGTTCAGACACGCTTCAGACTGGTTCAGGCACGGTTCAGACACGGCTTAGACTGGTTCATTCACGGTTCAGACTGGTTCAGGCACGGTTCAGACACGGCTTAGACTGGTTCATTCACGGTTCAGACTGGTTCAGACACGGTTCAGGCTGGTTCAGACACCCTTTAGATTGGTTCAAAGACGGTTCACACAGTGCAAACACAGGTCCAGGCACGGTTCAGACTGGTTCAGACTGGTTCAGACACGGTTCAGACACGGTTCAGACACGGTTCAGACACGGTGCAGACTGGCTCACAGAGGCGGGTCACGGTTTAGACACGGTTCAAACTGGTTCAGGCGTGGTTCGAACTGTTTCAGACCGGTTCAGACACGGTTCAGACACGGCTCAGACATGGTTCAGCCACAGTTCAGACTGGTCCAAACTGGTTCAGACACGGCCTCAGATCCAGACACTGTTTAGTCTGGTTCAGACACGGTTCAGACATGCTTCAGACACGCTTCAGTTCGGACTTTGAACCGTGTCTGAGCCAGTCTGAACCGTGTCTGAACCAGTTTGAACTGTGTCTGAACCAGTCTGGAGCGTGTCTGAAGCATGTCTGAACCAATCTAAACCTTGTCTGAACAAGCTTGAATCAGTCTGAACCGTGCCTGAACCAGCCTGAGCCGTGTCTGAACCAGTCTGAACCAGTCTGAAGCGTGTCTGTCCGAACCAGCTTGAACCATGTCTGAACGATTCGCGCCTGAACCAGTCTGAACCGCGTCTGTGTGAAAAAGGGCCTGTGTGTTTAAAAGGCTTCTGCGTAAAGGCTGCACTGTGTAAAAGCTTCCTTGTGCAAGGGCTTCCCTGTGTAAAAGCTTCCCTGTGTAAAAGCGTCTGTCTGTAAAAGGCTTCTGTGTGCAAAGGCTTTTCTGTGTAAATACTTCCGTGTGTAAAAGCTGCCTTGTGCAAGGGCTTCCCTGTGTAAAAGCTCCCCTGCGTAAAAGCTTCTGTGTGTAAAAGCTGCTCTGTGTGTAAAAGCGTCTGTGTGTAAAGGCTGCCTTGAACAAAGGCTTCCCTGCGTAAAAGCTTCTGTATGTAAAGGCGTCCCGCGTCTCTGTGTAAAGGCTTCTCTTGCATGTGTAAAAGCTTCTGTGTGTAAAGGGGCTTTTGTGAAAGGTGCTCTGTGCACGGGCTTCCGTGCCTAAAAGCTTCTGTGTATAAAAGCTGCTCTGTGTAGAGGCTTCTCTGTGTAAAAACTTCTGTCTGTCTGTTTGGCTGCCTTTCTATCTTTCTATCTGTCTATCTATCTATCTACCTATCTATCTACCTATCTATCTACCTATCTATCTACCTACCTATCTATGTATCTATCTATCTGTCTATCTATCTATCTATCTACCTATCTATCTATCTACCTATCTATCTATCTGTCTATCTATCTGTCTATCTATCTATCTATCTATCCTGTCTTATCTTATCTTATCGATTCTTATCCAATCTTATCTTATCTTATCTATCCTGCCTATCCTATCCTATCCTATCCTTTCCTATCCTATCTATCTATCCTATCTGATCTTATCTTTTCTTATCTTCTCTATCCTTTCTATTCTATCCTACCTCTCTATCTATCGTACCTATCTCATCTATCTATCTCATCTATCTATCCATCTATCTAGCTAGCTATCCATCCAACCACCTAATCTATCTATCTATCTATCTGTCTATCGATCGATCGATCTATCTATCTATCTACCTATCTATCTATCTATCTATCTATCTAATTATCTGACTATCTATCTACCTATCTATCTATCTACCTATCTACCCGGCTATCTATTTATCTATCTTATCTATCTTATCTATCTTATCTCTCTTATCTATCTCATCTATCTATCTATTGATCGATCTATCTGTCGATCTATCTAGCTATCTAGCTATCTATCTAATCTAATCTAATCTAGTCTAACCTAACCTAACCTAATCTAATCCAATTTACCTATCTAATCTATCTATCTATCTATCTATCTTTCTTTCTTTCTTTCTTTCTTATCTTTTTTCTTATCTTTCTATCTTATCTTTCTATTTTCTCTTGCTATCTTATTTTTCTATCTTATCTTTCTATCTTATCTTTCTATCTTATCTTTCTATCTCATCTTTCTATCTTATCTTTCTATCTTATCTTTCTATCTTATCTGATCTTATCTGATCTTATCTTTCTTTCTTATCTTTCTCATCTTTCTCATCTTTCTTATCTTTCTCATCTTTCTTATCTTTCTTATCTTTCCTATCTATCTTATCTAACTTATCTATCTTATCTATCTTAACTTTCTATCTGTCCGTCTATCTATCTATCTTTCTATCTATCTGTCTGTCTATCTATCCACCTATCTATCTATCTATCTATCTATCTATCTATCTTTCTAATCTAATCTAATGTAATCAAATGTAATCTAATGTAATCTAATCTAATCATCTATCGATCGATCTATCTATCGATCTATCGATCGATCGATCTATCTATCGATCGATCGATCTATCTATCGATCTATCGATCGATCTATCGATCTGTATGTCTATCTATCTATCTATCTATCAATCTATCAATCAATCAATCAATCTATGTATCTATCAATCTATCTATCAATCTATCTATCAATCTATCTATCAATCTATCTATCAATCTATCTATCTATCAATCTATCTATCTATCTACCTATCTATCTATCTATCTATCTATCTATCTATCTATCTATCTATCTATCTATCTTCCATCCATCGATCCATCCATCCATCCATCCATCCACCTGGCTCTTTCCCATCCAATCATCATCTGCTCCCACCGTCCCAAGTCATCACCTTCGCCTCATAACAATCGGAAGGCTTAACATGTGGGGTTATCTGGTCCTTTAATTACACATGATTTTCGACACAAAAAACATTTGACACAGAGAAATTTGTACACACAGACTGCACACAGAAGTTTTTACAGACCGATTTTTTTGCATGCAGAACTTTACCCAGAGCAGTTTTTACACAGCAGACACTTTCTCGCACAGAAGCCTTTACGCAGAAAAAACATATGCACAGCAGTTTTTACACACAGACGGTCTTTACACAAAAAATTATCCGCACAGAAGTCTTACGCACAGAAGGTTTTACGCACAACATTTTTTACATACACACAGTGCAGATGTTTTTACACAGACACAAATTGCACACAGAAACTTGTGCACACAGCACGCGTTTAACACAGCCAACTTTTCGCACAGAGAGGCTTTGCTTTCCCTTCTTGATCACCTACCTTTCGTGTTCCCCCTCTCAAATTTCTTCAACGCTGCACAGTACTAGTTGCTTAAACCAAGCCACGTTATGTGAAGTTGCGTCAAAGTCTCAACCCCAGGTCGGAGTTACCTTGGAAGATTTGTGGTCCGCCTTGTGCCTTGGCTGTTTGAAGCAGAGAAAGCAGAGAAAACACACAAACACACCCAGACATGAAATGACATGAAATCATGAAACTCAGAAATGAATCTGAAGTTTGGAGGTTTCCCAGCGTTTAGATTCAAAAACGTGATACCAAGGCGATGCAGATGCAAGAACTTGAGGCAGGTGAGAAACGTGAAGGTGGTGCGAACTCTGAAGGCCTCCCAGCGAGCTGTCCCTTCACCATATCTCACAGCCTCACAGCTGTCTCCAATGCTTGACTTACATACTGGTGAGACTATGTGAGACTCAACACATCAACATGTGGTCACAGCACAAATTTTTCAGGCCGAAGCTTCGTAAACAAAGGGCGTGGGAGAGCAGCTCAGAGAGGCACTGCTGGAGACCAAAACCCATTGCCACAACTGATATCACAACATGAGTGACTGTGAGTCACACTGACATCACGTGAGTGAAAATTTGAAACATGACTGACATGACGTTCTGCGCAAAGCAGCACAGGTCAGCCCAGACAAGCACGGCTCAAGTGGTGCACTCAGAAACCTTGACACTTGTAAGTTACTTGATGCTACATTTAAGCAGATACTTTGACACTGTAGATGCAAAAGGCATATCCATGTGCTATTCCTGGTGTAACACAAGTTCGGAACTCTTTGATAGTTGAGGCCGCCATCCAGTGACAGCCAAAAGGCATCCCCATCAAGCTGTGGCCAAGCATGGCACCTGGCATCCCAAACTTTCATTTTGGTAGACTTGGTAGCCTGCCAAAAAGGCTGTTCTGATGAATTCTGATGAATTCTGGATAGCATGTTTACAGGATTTTACAAGTCCAGACAAGTTTTCACTGACTTCTTGTTTACATCACCGACCAAAGAAACTGAGGAAGTGCAAAGGGCTACTGCACAGAGCCTTTGCCAGGCACACCAGCTCTGGAAGCTGTTCGATTTGCAAGATGAACTTAACAAGTCTTACTGAGTCTTTCTCTATTATACTTTTGAAAAAGGCATAGCGGCATAACCATTTTAAAGAACATGCATATGTTTTGTCCGTGTTAGAACAAAGTTTTGTTGCAGGCTTTTGGCAGCGCAGCTGCAGGTAGTCTTCCTGCCTTGCTTCCAGTCGCGTCTCCATAGCAGAGCCTCCACGTACTGAAGAAATCAACTTCCCTTCGCTGCAACATGAGAAAGATGCGAAGAACCAAATAGGATCAGTTTTTTTTTTGCCAGGCGAGCTTGACTCTGCCCAGCAGCTGCTGGCTGAGGCAGTAGGAGCATGACTGCGAATGTTTTCTATATATCAGATATCATATGTATTTCATTCACATATTGCAAATATAATATATATATATATATTATATACATATGATCCCATACGTAGATGCATAATGATGCATATATATAGAAATATTTACATGTATGAGTATATATGTATATATAATATATAGTTTTTGATCGAGTCGAATTGGTTGCCACTACGCTGACTCTTCAATTCCATGGATCAGCAGAGGATGAGTTGTTGGGCCTGTAGAGTCAAGTAGAGCCCCCATAAAGCTGCTGCGCAATTCCCGTAGAGTGGCAGTGGGCTGTCCGAAGACCATGTATAGAATGGCCAGATACGGCCAGTATAAGTAGAGCTAGGCAGAGACCCGTAGATCCACTAGAGAGTTGCCGTATTGTTTGCACACTACGGAAAAAGAGTACGCCTGGCAGTAGTCCTGCAGAGTGCTGGCTGCACCTTACTGTACATGGCAGCATAGAATGCTAGTGGCAGACTCTTCATTGACTTTAAAAACTTTCCCTCCAACTCTGACCTCTGAAAAATGGCCGCGAGAAGTGCAGTCGCCAAGATACGCTGAGGCCTCATCCGGCATAGAGTCTACAGTCTAAACGTCTAAACTGAACAGCCCGAGAGCTCCGTAAAATTCCCCCCAGACTGGCAAGAAGTTAGCCGACTCTGCGTGGAGTGGCCGTATACTCTCCGCACAGTCTCCATAGAATGGCTTTAAAGTGTCCCAGTTAAGTCTCCATAGAGCCTCCGCAGAGCTGCTTAAAAGTGCAAGATTTCAAATTGCTGCGTTTGGTGCTGAGATAGGTGCTTCTGCCTGTCATCAGCAAATCGTATTAAAATGTTCAAAATTGATCAAAAAGCTTGCAGGTCTGCTTCTTGGGGTGAGGGACTGATCCTGACGTGCCATAAATAAATGCAAATCATGACTTGCCATCGATTTCAGACGTTGAGTATCTCGTTTTCGTTTTATAGATTGAGGGTAAAGTTTCGGAAATTATACAAGTTTTAGGCGTGGTTGTGGCACACAAGATGTCGATTGGAAAAGAGGATCTCATGCGGAATGGATGAAACGACTTCGATCCTTTCCGGCCTTTCATCTCAGAAAGCTTTGCAGAGGTGCCGCTGATCGACGCGCTCAAGATGGCCAAAGATGCTCAGGCAAGGCGATTTTGGTTCAAAGCGTAGCAGTGGAGCATTCTCTCGTTTTTGGCTTTTGGTTTGACTTACAGGCCTCTGGGGAGGATTTTGGAAAGTGGAAGTCTCAGCTCAGCAAATGTAACTCTTGCGTGACCAAATACACCCCAACGAATCCGTTCTTTGCCAGAGCAAGCAAGGTCTATTCTCAGACTTGGTCGAGAAAGTCACTCGGAGGCTGATGCATTAGGACCTACTTCTGTACTGAACTGTCATACCGAGCATGCTCTACTTGGAGGAGTGCATGTACAGATGATGATACATGAAATCATACAATGCGGGTCACTTTCAGTATGTTTAAGGCTGAGAAACCATGGCATTGCTTGAAATTGTTGATAGCAACTCGCAATCGGGAAATGACGAATCTTCCAAGTGCTTGCCGGCAACTCCTGTCTTTCCCGGAGGCCTACCAGAGTGTGCTCACCAAGCGCAAAGCAGAGCTTATGGTCAAGACAGCCTTGACTTGAAAAATCTGCGCGACCATGTGCACACACACACATACACTTTGTACACATTTGTGCCTGTTCGTCCTTCCTCAAAGGCCCCAAGTCTTCCTCAATTCCAGCACAGATCATTTTCACTACGCAAGGAAGACTACTTATATTATATTCACCGAAAAATGCCTGTGGCTCAAGCTGTCCCGTAAAACATGTGTACATGATAGCCTAAACTTGTAGACGTGTGTAGTCTCTCAGTTGATCACATCAAAGCCAACAAATTCTGACCTCGGAGGAACTTAGAGTCTTCACCTTGTGCAAGAAACAGTGATTCAACTAATACATGACAAAATGGGACAGTATCACACACACACACACACGCATATTTATGTATATATATATATAGATAGATATAGACAATATCACCAGATTTATAATGCCCTTAACAAGTTGCTGAACCAAAAAGCTTGACCAGGGCCCAAAGCTGTTGCGCCCTTGATTTGCAGCTTCGAAGTGAAATTTGAGAAGTTGAGACCTCAGAAACTCAGGAAATGCAAATAGAGAATTTGAGGCTGGGATGCTGGGATGCTGGGATGCCAATCGGGATGCTCTTGAAGAATGACCTGAATCTGAGTCGACAGATGGCAAGGCTGTAACAGTGATGCAACAAGTGGCAAGTGACTGAAGTAAGTTCACATGTTGAATGCAAGACTTGCAACTGAAGGTGAGGCCTTGATGCTGGATTGGAACTCAGATTACAAGGTGGACTTGAAGAGCTCTTACTTGAAGAGCTTTTGGACATTTTTGCACGGCATAGTAACTGGAGATCCAACAAAGATCACGTTGCAGACAAGGCACAAACAAGGCAAACACACACACACACGCAAGGCACAAACGTTTGCCTAGATAGTCCCAGATAGTCCCAGATAGTCCGGGAAGTGATGCCAGGAGCCCTTGGAGGTGCGAAAACACACCAAGCATATCATGGCATCTCCACAATTTCCAAGAGGTTCCATTGAAGGTTCTACTGGAAAGGGGTTCTGCTAAGGCATCGAATTGCAAGAATTGTGGTAACACCTTTGTCAGTGATTCGAACCTTGGCTGTATAAGCGCAAGTAATGTTTGCGCCGGAGTTATTTGCAGTTTATTCAGGCAATTGCGACATTCATGAGGCATGCCAATAGCTTTTGGGAAGATTCTTTAGGCCTTTGCTTTTCTTGGAAGCTGAACACAATCACAATTATCTCTCAAACGGTTTGCACCAGCTCTGGCATGAGGAATTTCTGCCGAAGATGTGGAGAAAAACGGGAGGCCAGACGCGAAGAACATCAAGTAGTCGGGATTCAATACAGAATGTGTTGATGAAGGGCAAGGTCCAGCCGAGTCCAGCCTTAACAAAAAGCTGCTACAGGATCCTTAGGAATGAGTCGTAGCTTTTTCCAAACAGCGGAAGCTTCAGTGATTCAGTATGCGGTCAATTCGGTCAATTCGGTCAATTCGGTCAATTCGGTCAGCATGGCTTGGAGAGTCGTCGATGCGTTGCCATTTTTGCTCCAAAAGCCAAAGATGTCAAAGAGATTGAGATCGCCTTGGGGTTAGCGAGGCATAGCGAGGCTAGGGTCCGAGTTGCTGGCACTGATGCTCTACCTCGGATCTCGTGTGATCTCAGTGTTGCATACCACAAGACTGTTTGGAAACGTAAACGCTCCAATTTCTCCAAAAGACATTGGCGCACTCCTGTCGCATCGCAGCCTATTGCGGCCAATTTCTTGTTGTCTTTTCATCCGGTTTGTTTGTCCCGAGGCGATGAGAGATCTCTTTTGTCTTCGAGTGACCTTAAGCAGTTTGACACTTTTGACCACTTTTGCCAAAGAGCAGGAGATCAGGGCGGAGCCCTTTCCATTTTCAGATATTTTCACTCTTTTGTGAAAAGGCAACTCAGTTGGTGTGAGCATGCGATGTGCCAGACTTGTGATTCAACTGATCCAGCCAGGAGATTGCATGCCCAGATGGCAAGGACAGCCCAATGTAGGGAGCGTGGTGTTTTCTTCGAAGCACACGGTTAGCTTCTCAAAGCATCCAACAACAAGTCTTGGAAAGTAATGCAAGCTGCATTTTGCAGGTAGAGTGTTCTTGTTTGAGTATTTCAATGTATTTCGTAACAGGGCCACTTGGCAACAAGCGGTACTTATTTTGCGAGACTTTCTGCTTCAAAAGAAGGCCTTCGTAGGACCAGCGTGCGCATTGTCCTGGAATATCCTGTGTCAATGCTTTTGTATACTTTATAGACTCTATATAATTATATAGACTATATACGTATACAGTATACAAATACGGATCAATCCACCTCAATACCTATTCTCTGGAACACTTTCGCGAGTACTGTATCCTTTTTTCCTTTTAGGTATATAGTGTATTTCTATATACGTGTATGTATACATCCGTATCATATCATTATGAGCTCCCATATATATATATATAAATATATTTAAGCTGCTAATTGTGTTAACACGGCAACGAGCTCTTAACTGGACTACACCTATATGTAATTTAATATATATATATATACATGTACTTGCGCGCAGACAGAACCATGTTGACACAGAAGGTCTCGTAAGAATTCGTAAGATACATTCATGTAGCAACAAGATGAGTACAGAAGATGCCTGAGGAATTGTGTGAGACTCATGTCTCACCTCCAGCACTTTTAGTCCCCATTTGTGGATGAAACAACCGGACCGCCGGACTGAGACCTAGTAGGCAAAGAGAGTTGTAGAAACTTGTTCACCCCGGCTTCGAGTGGGCTTTAGTGACCTGAAGTCATACCTGGCTCTGACTAGAGATGCTGGCAATTTCCTTTGCTAAGATCACTTCGGATGGAATCACTCTGTTTCTAGTGCTGCTTCAGAGGATTGCACCAAGCGACGCTTGGAGGCCTGGAGTTGAAGCTGCTCGATTTTTTCACACGAATTTCCCAATAGCACCTGTCTGACACGCCTAGACAAAGGCTCCTCACTCTCGTTGCCTCAAGAACATGGATGGGTTCAGATTCAGATGGATATCATAATTTACACCAAATCTGTGCCTTCAAACATTTCACACTTAAAGGGTTGGATGTGACCCCTTGAGACCTTTTCCGAATCTTCTTTCGCGGGAACATAAATAACACAAAGCTCCTTTGCCTCTTCTTGACCTGGAATTTCCTGCATATGCAGAATGCCCGGGCAATTTTTTAGTCCATTTTCATTCTGCCAAAAGAGCTCCACTGCAATTTCGTGCTGTGACCTCCAGTTGGACTCATGGTTTCGAATCGGCTTCGACAACATGCAGTGCTACACCCCTGGAGGCCCAAAATTTGCTGTGAATTCGCTGTGATTGAACTAGGGCCGGTGCATTTAAACTGTGTGAAATAATACCATCACTTACCATCCATGTCCCCATTTGCAGATCTCGATATCCTGAAAGTGGAATCGCAAAGTGACTGCCGAGCAGAAGCCGAAAAGGCTAGAAGGGAGCGAGGGGAGCCCTGAAGACTTAAGACGCAATGTTCCAATGAGTGCTTTTTGAGTTGGGAGTCTACCGTGAACTTCTTCACGTACTCTTTTCAAAGCGTGGGCATTCCCACGTTCTGGTCTTGTGATGGTAACCCAGCAGAACAAAACGTAACACTACTGACCTCGAGGTGCGAGTCGTGATTTGTTCCAAATCAGCGATCTGGATGCTCTTTGTTCTTGTTTGAGTAGTTCTTTGCTATTCGTGCAGGTGGGCTGGGAATTTTACCAGTACAACGATCCGTGGCAGCATTGGTCACCAATCTCCAGCGTGGATTCAAAAAAGAGATTTGAAGCGATCAGCCAGCGCTCAAGATTTTTCAGTTGTTAATTCCACAATTTTGGGTCGCACGAGAGCCGATTGTCCTCACACACGGAAGGACCAAGGCAGTGCTACGAATGGCTCAACATGTGAGATGAACATCCATGACTCGATCTCTTCCAGAATGATTTCGTGAACAAGTTCCGCTTACAATTTTTGATTGCATTGCATCTGCCACCTTCAGGAAGAAAAGAAAGAATGCTGCCTCACAGACAACTGTGACAAGGATTTAATGGTGGAGGCGAACCTTTGCTGCAAGTTGTCAAGGGGGGCAATAAGCTCTTTTTTCACGAAGACGAGTGATACTGTACCAAGCCAGCAACACAGATATCCTCAAAGCTTGCTGCTTGTTAAACGCAACTTCCAAAGAGGACAATGCACGCGTTTGCAGATCAGATCGCCAGTCTAAGCCTGTTCAGATCTCGCGCAGCACTAAGGAGCGGCTGGGAAAGCTGGGGAAAGGACACTTGGAGCGCAAGACAGTGACAGAAACTGTGCTTTTGCTGGCCCGGAATTGACTTCTGTTGTGTGTTTTCCATAGATCATATAGTATCATCGAGTGCAAGTGACATTTTCGCTTGGCATCCAAGAATTGGTGTGTGAGATGTGACGAGTCTATTTGGGTCCCGAGCCTTGGCTTCTCAGCGCCCAGTGAACCGGCACCGACCAAGCCTTTTGTAAAGCTCAGGTCCCAATCTCTTGGGACAGGAGTAGACTCGGAGACTCCGTGGCTTTCGAAAGGAAAGAATTCCACATCACATTTGAACCTTTTGCCCGCAAGTTCTTAGCCTTTGGTACACCGTGCGCTCAAAGACCTCTAAAACCTCTGGATCTCTAAACCAGTGTATGAGGATTGAACATTGTTTTTTTCAATGATTCAACTCTTGAATCCTTTTTTCCT